TGTTCAGATTTTGTTTGCTAGAATATTCGTGATTTTTGATTAAGGATTCGGGGGGAGCAGGCCAGTGTACCGCGAGCCTAATGTACCGCCGAGTTATAACTTTTTCCAAAATTGTCGGATCCGTGGCACCCTGGTATGGTTCGATGCGTCTCGACCAGCTGAATCGAAACATACCAGGGCGCCACGGATTCGACAATTTTGGAAAAAGTTAAAGCTCGGCGCTACATTGGGCTCGCGGTACATCGGGGTGGACCGGATTCGGGTCCGATGAAAAGCTATTACAGCAAATGATTTTATTAAACGAAATAATACAAAATTTTACCGTTAATCAGAAATGTAATCATGAAAACTAGAGCTATAATCTTTATATTTAACTGAATTCCAATGGCCGAGTTGCAAAAATCAGTACCACACTCGTGACATGTACAATCATCCGCATATTCAGTTAATCCAGTAATTGCTTTAGTTAATTTACAACTACCACACCCTTTGAGATAACCATCTGAAATTTTTGTATAAAAATTAATATCAAATTTTTGACGATATCATAACAATTTTAGATTTAAGGTTCATTGTAGAAGCTAGTATTGTAAACACTGTATTTAATTTTTAATAAACAAACATTTTCCGCAATCATTTTTTAAGCATTTTTTACCAAGGACATTAAAAGGAAATTTTTCAGTATTGCACTCTGCTGAACTCACTTTAACATGAATTCCATCTTTGTCAGTAGTATCTCTATCGGCGTAACAATCGAGCGATTCTGTTAACAAAAAATGATATTTGCTTTGTTAAGGTAATGAATCTTAATGAATTTAATACTCTCTTGCTGTCAGTAACCAGATCGATCGAATTCCAATTTCCACAGCTCCGATTACAGGCATCTTTGCGAAGGAAATCGAAGTCGCGCGAAAAAATCGAAGGTCGGTCGTCATTTCAGACCGACCTCTAGTAATACTAACAAGCAACATAGTCTTCACAGTTTTACTACCAGCAGCAAAGTCTAAGCTTAAGTATTTTGTGGTTTACTACTACGATGTCCCAAAAGTTCTCGCTGTTTCAAATGTAAATCATTTTTAAAAATTACCTCCAGCTATTTTTTAAAATTTACCTCCAAATTCAAAATTCATCAAAAAGAGAAGCGCTAAATAATTAATTAATAACAATCCCATTTTTAAATTTAGATTTAATAATTTTGTTAAAAAAATTTTTTACTAAAAAATATATGAATGATTTAAATAAATAGAGAGAGGTTTTTGATAGGAAAAAATATTTTTTGATGAATAACACATTTTTTAGATTTTAATCTGATAATAATTTTAATATATTAATCATTATAAAGTAAAATTTCAAAAATTTAATAAATATTAAATTACTTAATAGTAAATTAATAACGTTTATTATATTGGATATCCATTATAGATCGAGATTTTTCCTGAACTCTGAATTTGATTTATTGACCCGGGCCGGATCCTGGGCTTGTAGTTCAGAAAAATCCAGGCCCAGGAAAAACTTTGGAAAGTCTAAAAATGCCTGGACCTGGACTTTGGGTACAGGAAACCCTAGGCCTTGTTCCAGGACCAGCTCGATCTCTACTATCCATACATTAGCAGTATTGTTGCGTATTGGCTTAGTATAAAAGCCTTCCTATTATTCAGTCGCGGTCTGAGTCTTATTGTCGCAGTGTTATTCTTATTTTATTCTGTCTCCACGTATTCGGCATTTAGCCAATATTCCTATTGTTCGTCCTTATTGTATTTAGTATTGTAGATAAAGCACAGTTTGTTAGTTACTGTCTTATCTTGTTGTTATTCTTGTTAGTACGAAGACATACAAGTCTCGTACATAACAAGTATTAACAAGTTTATCAGTCTTCAAATAAAGATAAATCTTTTATTTTCCTTTAAAAATATTTTTTGATACTTAGGTTATGTTTATTTATCAATTACATCAAGATATCGCTTTTTTATTACATAGTTCTTAACAGCTGCCAAATATTCATCGCCCTGTACCACTTCCGGTCCCGGTTCCTTTAGCTACTTTCTAAAAATTATTTTTATATGAAAATTTAAAATGTAAGTAGTCTCAAACGTCTTCGAAAATCAGCCCTCGAGCAACCACAAAATGTAAAGCAATTATTAAAAGAACAAATAATTGGCTGAATTTCATTTTAGATTATAGAATTTTTTGAAGTACTTTGATGAATAAAGTAAAATTTTCGCCGGTTTTTATTCATCTAAATTGTTTGCCAACAGGACAGAAATTTTCCATGTTAAGAATTTTTGAGACAGGAAGTATATAGAAAATTTTTAATATGCCCAATAATTTTAAAATTTTTAATAAAAAAGGGATATAAAATTTTTTATTATTTATTTAACTGCTAATTTTAATAAAATTTAAAGGAAATTGAGGAATTAATAAAATATTTTTCAAATTGCCAACTCGGCATAATTCAAAAAGAAAAAATGTTTAAACTAGACATGGACACGGGTACTGATTTTGGTATCCGTATCCGGATATTTACGGCGGATACAAACGGAGATCCGCAGGCATTTTTAAGATATCTGTATCCATCTGTATCCACATCCATGTACTATCTGTATCCGTATCCATATCCATGTACTATCTGTATCCGTATCCATGTCCTAGTCTGGTTTAAACATTAATTTTAAAAATTTTAAAATTAAAAAAAGCAATTGAAAAGCTTTAAAAATTATAAGTTAAAAAATTAAAGGAGATTTTTTTGTAAAAGAATTAACTAATAGTTTATTCTTAATATTTTTAAATTATACATATGAAAGCAGCAAAATAATTGCTGCCATTAAACAATAACCATTAATCAGCAAAATAATCAGGCAACTTATGAATATAATCTCCTCATATAAAGGAAAGCCAATGGCCGAGTTACACAAATCAGTGTCGCACTCATAACAAGTACAATCATCCCCATAACCATTTAGCTTATCAATTAATCTAGTTAAATTGCAATTACCACAAGTTTTGGTATAGCCATCTAAATTTTTTTATAAAAGTTAACATCTTTTAGGGGATATTTCGAGTTATTTTTCTGATAAACTAACATTTTCCACAATCATTTTTTAAGCATTTATCATCAAAGACATGATAAGGAAATTTTTTATTATTACATTCCTGCCGCTTTATTCTAGTAATCTTTCCTACTTTATCAGTAATATCTCTCTCGACGTAACATTTGATTGATTCTGTTTAATAAAAAAAATATTTTTTGATTTTGACTATTTATTTTATTAAAATCTGTATGAAAGAATCTCTATACCCTCTTGATTTTAATAGTAAGAGGCTGATCTCAATTCCTATTTCCGACAGTTCCGATTACAGGCACCTTCGTGCAGAAAATCAAAGTTCGCGCGAAAAAACCGGAGGTCGTTCTGACGTCATTTTCGGCTGACCCATGTCAGTACCCAGCAACATAACCTTTGCATTTTTACTACCAGCAGGAGAGTCTAAGCTTAAGTATTTTGTGGTTTACTAGATTAATAAAGATTCTAGTCACCAATGAATATTTTTTTATTCACAGGAATCTAGCTTTATTTCTATTTAATTAATCTACCTCCAAATTTAGAACTCATCCATACGATAAGCGATAAAATATTAATTAATAACAATCCCATTTTTAAATTTAGACAAATGATTTAGTTTAAAAATATTTTTGTTGGAAAATAAAAGTATGATTCAACTACATACAGTAGTCGACAAAAAGATAGGGACAAACACAAGTGTAATGGAAATCACCTATTTTCTCGGTTAAAAATCAATTTTAGGAAAACTTTTTTATTTGATTAAATACTCCATTTAATTCTCTATTTAATAAGTAGAAAATTTGCCTGGTTAAAATTTTATAAAATCCAAACATTATTAAAAAACAAAAGATATGCTATTTTAAGCGCGACAAAAAGATAGGGACAAGTCTTGTAACAAAGTTTTCATAAAAGCAAAAAATCTACAAAAATTTGTGGAAGCATATTGATCGATACTAAGAAGAAATAAAAAAGAACTAGGTCCATATCTCATTTCAATATCGAGATCTCGGAACCCTAAAAACACGGGTAAAACAGGGGTTTTCAACTTCAAAAAATATTTTCGACCCCTTATGGATTTTCTAAAATTTTTATTTTGAGCCCATTCGATAGCCCTTGAAATTTGCTATAAACTAGCCAAATTTCATTCTTCAAAAAAATTTCACTCCCGAGATAAAGGACGACGATTCACCAAAATGCCGTTTAAGAAGCAATTTATGGGGCGTTTGCTGTTTTTTGTGACGTTAGCCTCTACAGCTAACGAAATGTTTTTTTCTCAAAAATGAAATTTGGCTAGTTTATAGCAAATTTCAAGGGCTATCGAATGGGCTTAAAATAAAAATTTTAGAAAATCCATAAGGGGTCGAAAATATTTTTTGAAGTTGAAAACCCCTGTTTTACGTTGATTTTCGGGGTATTGAGATCTCGACAATAAAACGAGATATGGGCCTAGTTCTTTTTTATTTTATCTTAGTATCGATCAGTATGTTCGCACGAATTTTTATAAATTTTTTGGTTGAGTGAATAATTAGTTACAAGACTTGTCCCTATCTTTTTGTCGGGCTGAAATTTGCATAACTTTTTTAGTTAAATTATTTCAGTATTTCAAAAAATAATAATCCGGTAGATCTTATACTCATTAAATAGAGCATTAAATGGAGTATTTAATTAAACAAAAAAATTTTTCCTGAAATCGATTTTTAGTTGAGATAATAGGCGATTTTCGTTTCACATGCGTTTGTCCCTATCTTTTTGTCGACTACTGTATATGGAGAAAAAAATTTTTTTGATGAATAACAATTTTTTAAATTTTAATATGATAATAATTTCAGTATATTAATCATTATAAAGCAAAATTTAAAAACTTATAAAAATTAATTTTTTTCATTCAATTTTATTTTTAATCATTTCTTCAACATTTATTCTTTGAATTTGATTAGGTAATTATTTCTTTTTGTATGCGTAAACTTGGCATCTTTCTTGACATTCCTTCTTAGTCTTGAAATTATTTCCATTACCTTTACAGCCACCGTAGTCAAATTTCTATAGAATATTAAGAATTGGCCAATCTCTTCTTAAGAATTCCAATTTACCTTGCATTCGCCTTTGTCGTACCACCAACGGGAGAATAAAGCATCACAAGGTCCAGGGTCCTTTTCAAGGTCACACACATTATTCTAAAAATTATCATTTAATTTTGTTGCGCATAAAAATTGTTAAAAGTGGGTAAACAAACGTTGCATGTTTGTTGACATTCTTGAAGGGTTTTGAAATTATTATCGTTACCCTTACAACCGCCGTATTTGAATTCCTAAAATTAATATTTATATATTTCTTAAATTATTTATCCTTAGGATTAAAGCTTTCAAGCTCCTTCCCATGCTAAAAATGACTGGAACCATAGGAGATTGTCCTGAGACAAAGGAGAATGAAGGGGAGATAAATACAGTGAGGCATATTCAAAGGCTAGTCTCCTCCTTCGTTCAAATCAACGTCAAAACATTCTAAGCATCTTGATGGACTATAGCTAGTGTTGCGCCCCTGCCCCGCCCTGAAACAATTCGAAAACCCCGTACCCTGACACATCCGCCCTTGTGTGTACGGTGTGCAACCCTAACCATAGCCCCTGAATCATGTAATTTAAGGCAAGGTTGAAATTTCTATAAATTTTGATAACTTCCAAATATCACCTTACATTCACCGTTATCATACCACCAACGTGGTATTGCTGCCCTACAAGGTCCAACAACTTGTTCAAGCTCGCATATCTTTATTTTTATATTTAATAATATATTAATTGGCAAACTTTGCAAGTTTGTTGACATTCTAATTTAGTTTTAAAATTGTTTTCGTTACCATCACAGCCGCCATAAGTGAAATTCTGGAAATATAATTCTAAATTTTATCATTTTTGTATGATTAACGTGATGACAGATTCTTTTTTACTCGGGGAAAAATGACTTTTGGGTTTATAACAATTCGACATTACAAGTGAAGTATGAGGTTTAATGTATTTTTAAAAATTAAACCCATGGGGTTTATTTACCAGACATACTCCTAAATTTATCTTATTTGAGGTGGGTCTCTATTTAAAAAAATATTGTCAAAGTATTGCCACGCTGAGTGAGTGATTTCCCATGTCGCATCCAGCTCAAAACTTTTTATGGGATTATGGTTTTACTGTGAAAAATTAGGGCTGGACTTGCTGTTATTTCCAGCCGCTGCCAATTTCCTTGTTCTTTACATTTTCTTCCATATCGCTGACTAGATAGTCGCGATATTACCTCATAATTTATATTTTATTTTACTCATATCCAACCTGGCATTGGCCTATCTCAATATCATACCACCAACGTTCAATTAAAGCCAAACAATTTCCACTGACTTGTTCAAGTTTGCAAATCTGTTAATTATATTAATTTTTCTGTTAATTATAATTACTTCAGGTATTCCATAATCATCAGCATTAACCATTAAAAATATTAAAAATAAAAATAATACCCCAAATACTTTATTCATTTTATTAATTTTTAAAATTCGAGAGCAGGGAAATAAAATTTATATTTATTTGATTGAATGAATTTAATAAAATTACACGTAAATTCAGCTTGTTAGTCACACAAGCAAACAAATAAAATTTTTTTTAAATTTCCTCGATAGCCTATTTTTCCATTTAAAACTTGTCAAACAATTAATTTTATTTCACAAATAATTTTTTATTAAAATGTAAACGCTCATTTCCTATATTTTCTTTATCATAAATTTCTCTTTCATCCAAATTTAAATCATAATAATTTTCGTCATTTTCATCCTCCTCGGCGGCTACATCTTTTATTTCCTTTAAATTTTATTTAAAAAATTTTTTTTCAATAGAACAAACATTTTTGTTCCTCTTCCCCTTCATTTCAATTTTATAGAGTTGTGAAATTAATTTATTTAAATTTGTTTGTACATTATCTAAAAATTTTCTAAATAAATTTTATTTCTATTTCTAAATAAAATTTATTTCTAAATAAATTTTATTTACATCAATTACACAACGAGGCACTGGGGAACGGGACCAAACTCTTTACTACCCTAGCTGAAGATTTGTAGCAAAAATTATCCCAGAACTATGAGAGAGAGAGAGAGAGAGAGAACAAAATTTGTTTCTCGATTCGAGAATTGTCCTTAAATTCGGTGGATGTCTAATAGACTAAAAAAACTTCATTATCCAACGTCCCCAAAAATTATTCTCATCATCGTCGGCAAAAATTTTCTCAAAAAAATTTATTTTACTTTTATCATAATCACTCGATTCTCCATTTATTTCCTCCAAACCTTCAAATTCTTCAGCTGGATTGGCCTCATTAATTTTAATTAAATTATTAGTATATTCTTTGTTATATTCACATTCTAAACATTCATTAATACATAATTCGTTTATCGATGGATTCTAGGAATTAATTTTGAAAAATATTTCATTGAAATTATTTCAGCTTACTGTACAAATTGAGCAGTAAGGTCCACGAACAATTTTGCATTGGAGCATGAGGTCGTCTTAATTTATTTTTTAAATAATGAGAGCAAGCTCATGACTAAGTTTAAGGTCTACAAGGTGGATGTTTTTTTCCATTTCTAGTACCCGGTACGTGCTTTTTTAAATTCCTAAATCAGTGCCTACAGAGTAGGAAGTTCCGGTGTGGTTCCGGTTCATGAAAGTTCCAACGTTTTTTTGGTTCCGGGATCCGGAACTCAAATTGGATCCAGATGCGGTTCCAATCAAAATTACGTTTCAGCTGAAAGACTAATATGTATCCCAGTTGAAGATTTGTGGCAAAAATTATTATTATTATTAAATTATTATTATTAATTTCTATTACCCGGTCCCGGGCTTTTTTTTAAATCCCAAAATCAGCGCCTACAGAGTAGAGTAAAAGGACAAACTGAGCACTAACAATTTTCTGATTTTTGAATTTTTGTTTCGAATCTTTTGTATCAATAAAGTAAGAAAGAATAACTATTGTTATCAAGCAATGGCTGTAGCTCCTAGCAATTAAACCTAGTAGGTTCGATTCTCTACCTGTGACTTCGCCTTAAAAAATTTTAAAGAAAACTACCCAAATTTTGAGGAACAATAGATGATTGACTTGAATATACACTTCTACTAATTCCTTGTAAACCTCCCCCGTTGCAATATTGACATTCAAACGGGCAAATTTCCTCTACACTTTTGTGCCCACAATGTGTGCAATAGATTCCTTGTAGGTTTGGACAGAGTTTTTGAAGTTCACCTTTTTTAAAAATTTTTTGGAAAAAATTTTATTGGTTTCTTTTTTGGAGTGTTTACAATTATGGAGATTTATCACTAAAAGTCGGAGGTGGCAAATCACTTGCTTCCCTTAGGATTTTCCCTTCAAAGTTGTCAAATATGTAAAGCCCTGTCTTCAACCGTCATCGACAACTGTCGACACTCATGTTTGAGGTTGTCGGATAGTTGGAAATCCACGAATATCCGGATCCGAACCGAAAATTTCCGGATATCCAGCCTTTTTCGGATACGGATATCTTCGGATCCGACAACCTTACTCATCATCCCCTTCTCTTAAAAAATATCTGCCTTGTAGGATAAATATTATATGTATGTATAATAATCGAATAAATTATTTAGAAGACCGTTCAAATGTAATATTAGAACAAAGTACATTCGGCCGGCTAATTGACATTTGTCCAAATATCACATTTGACAATGGCATAAAAACTAATTTACCTAATTCAGCACTCTGCGCATTAACAAATTTGTTTTCATAATTAGAATACAAAATGATTAAAAATAGATATTTAATTAAATAAAAATAGAAAAGCATTGTGAAAAAATGGGAAAATAATAATGGAAAAAAATTTGAAAAATACAAACAAACAATTTCATCTCTTTGTTTAATTTTCAATGGATTTGGACAAAAATAGAAATTTATATTTAAAAAAATAAAAATTAGACAAGACGTTGACGAAAACGTTAACGAGTTGACGATAACGTTGACCACGACTCGACAACAGTTTAAGGCAACGTTGACGAGTTGATGACAACGTTGAAGAATTGACGCCAACATTGACCACGACTCGACGACCTGTTGACGGCAATCTTGACGATAACGTTGTAGAGATGACGGCAAGTTAACGTCAGCGTTGTCGAGGTGACGACTCGACGACAGTTGACGGCAATCTTGACGATAACGTTGTAGAGATGACGGCAAGTTAACGTCAGCGTTGTCGAGGTGACGACTCGACGACAGTTGACGGCAATCTTGACGATAACGTTGTAGAGATGGCGGCAAGTTAACGTCAGCGTTGTCGAGGTGACGACTCGACGACAGTTGACGGCAATCTTGACGATAACGTTGTAGAGATGGCGGCAAGTTAACGTCAGCGTTGTCGAGGTGACGACTCGACGACAGTTGACGGCAATCTTGACGATAACGTTGTAGAGATGGCGGCAAGTTAACGTCAGCGTTGTCGAGGTGACGACTCGACGACAGTTGACGGCAATCTTGACGATAACGTTGTAGAGATGACGGCAAGTTAACGTCAGCGTTGTCGAGATGACGACTCGACGACAGTTGACGGCAATCTTGACGATAACGTTGTAGAGATGGCGGCAAGTTAACGTCAGCGTTGTCGAGGTGACGACTCGACGACAGTTGACGGCAATCTTGACGATAACGTTGTAGAGATGGCGGCAAGTTAACGTCAGCGTTGTCGAGATGACGACTCGACGACAGTTGACGACAACGTTGACGAGATGACGACACGACAACGACAACGTTACGTGACGACGTTGACGTGACGAGTTTCTGACGACTTGACGACGACAGTTGACGACAATCTTGACGATAACGTTGTAGAGACGACGACGAGTTGACGACAACGTTGACGAGGAAGTTGACGAGATGAAGACACGTTGACGACAACGTTGACTACGACTCGACGACATTTGACGACATCGTTAACTACGACTCGACGACATTTGACGACAACGTTGACGTGACGACAAGGTTTAAAATTTTATTTAAAGTTCAATTAAAAGTTAATTTAATATTTTATGATTTTTATTTAATCCTTCTACTATTTTTATCTTTTTATTGTTTTTTATGTCTGTCGTATATTTAAATTTAAGTAAAAATTAAAAATAAATAAAATTATTTAAATCTGTTAGTTTAAAACGTTTGAGCTTTAATAAAACTCAATAGTACATGATATTATTAATGCAAATCGCACTAATATAAATATTCAACTTAATCTTCAGACAACAAATATTGTTCGACAATGGACCACAACGACAGGATTTTTATTGGTCCTATCGAATAAAGCATGATTTTATACTTTTTTTATACTTTCTAAAAAAATTTTTCTTAAAAAAACGTTTTGTTCTGGTAAATCCAGAATTTTCATCTGAAATCAGAAATACAATTTTTTCGAAAGCTTGAGATTGAGAAATTTTTGGAAATTTCCCTCCCTCCCAAAATTCTAATTTAGGTTTCCTCTGTCTAGAAAAAAACTAGAGACCGAACTTGGAGGTTCGGCAAGTATCGGCATATTTTTCGAGATATCCCTCTCAATGACTGAGATTCTTGCTCGAAATCTATACTCGGTCCGATCTCTATAAACTACCCCTAACTCGTAAACTACATGGCAATATTGGCTCTAATAAATAATTATAAACCAGGGATTTCACGGGTTACCCGAAACCGGACCCGTAAAATTTTCAAACCCCACCCCGAAACCCAACCCGAAACCCGACTTTTTTCTCAATTCGTGATATCCCTGTTATATACCCCATTTAGAAAATAATTTCATAATAATGATCAATCTAGAATAAAAATAAAAAAATTTATTTTCAAGAACAAAATGAGAAATATTTTGAGAAAATTACAAAATTATAAAATACTTAATGGACAACACAGCAATAATAATAGAATAAATAATAAATTACGTTATTTTTATTTTATTTTATTTTGTATTTCCTTAATTATTTTGTACCCATTTTATCTTAAATTTTCGAATGATAAAAGCTTAACTTTGAGGGAAAAACCACTAAAAATTCCGCCAAATCCAAAGGTAAAATTTATTTTTTTAATTTTGTGAAATATTGTCTTTGGGTATTCACTATGTAAAATTGAAGTTTTAACTTTGATGCCAGTCATATTTCGAGTTGATGATACATACCCTCTAAACCCGAAACATTTTTTCGGCCCTAAACCCAACATGAGAAATTTTCCAAAATTCGACTCTAGTTCCGACACCAGACCTCCGACCCCAGACCAAAAAACGACCCCAGACCTCCGACCCCAGACCAAAAAACGACCCCAGACCAAAAAACGACCCCAGACCTCCGACCCCAGACCAAAAAAAATTATTGATACCTGAAAATTATTGATACCTGAAAATTATTGATACCCCTTATTGATACCTGAATTCTCTATTACTTAACAAAATCGTAATATAATAGTATAATTTATCCCCTGGAAAATTTTAAAATTTGAGATAGTCGCCGAAAAATAAATTAAGAATTCAAGAAGCTCTTCCTGAATGAGAGATAACCATTAATAAAAAATCATTCTAGTTTAAACCAATTATTCTTGGATGGAATACTATTTACACTTATGATAATGTAGTAGCTATGTTAACTGGAATGTTTAATACTAATGAATGTCCATATGAATGTGAATATTCAACAGATAAGAATAAGTAAATCATTTTTATGATTTTTTAGATAAAGATTACAAGGGGAGGTGGAGGGGGATGGAGGGAGAGAGAGAGAGAGAGGGAGGGAGGGAGGAATTTTTAAAAATCTGACAGGGTTCTAAAATATTCTTTAAAAGATACTTAAATGCTTCTGCTATTGTTTATTATATTCGGTCCGAGCATTTAGACTTGCCTAAAATAAGATTACCAAATCAACTATATGTCTTCTGTTTGGACGAACCGCCTCATTATACTTTTGAATTTTTCAAGGTTCTAGAAAAATTCTGAAAAATAATTAAATATCTTTATAAGGACGTCTCCCCCGATTTTTTCAACATTTCCATGACCTATCGTTTAGACAGCGATATTTATTACCCCTATGATACTTTTGTTCCATGTAATGGTGAATGCCAATTAGATGAATATTGGACTGAAAAGGAGGTGGAAAAAATTTTTTTTGAAATTTTAGTGAAAGAATTTTCAAGGTAATGGAAAATGTAATAAGAAAAACTGGATTGGCAATGCAAGTTAACTCAGATTGTGGTTAATAATTTTATTAATTAAATTAAATTATGAAAATACGAATAATAATAATGCTACGAATCTGGCAGAATCATTTTCCAAGTTCGGAAACTTGATTTTAGATGCTGACCGGATCCGACCAGATGGAATAGGAGAGCTATACACCATAGGAATAATAGAGAGGGTTGTTAAATTCTAAAGAGAATCTGTTGGATTGTAAAATGAGCCATTTATCTTAAAGACGACCCGGTATCTATGATAGTCTCCCGTTGTCCAAACAGCTCTCAAAAAAATTTTCAATTTTAAAGATACTCCCTCCAAAAGAGAAACTCTTGTTCAAGAATTGCGTAAGCTGATTAAAATTGATCTGTACGGAAAATGCGTCCGTGGGGCCAAGTGTGATTTTGAATATTGTTATAATCGAGAATTGGGTAAAAAACTAAAATTCATTTTATCTGAAAATATTTTTAGAAAATCACATGTTTTATTTGGCATTTGAAAATGCTGTTTGTAAAGGTTATGTCACAGAAAAATTTTGGAATTTAAAACATTTAATTGTTCCTATTGTTCTTACTAGACGAATTTTTGATAAATGGAAAGTACCTGACAGTGCTTATATTGCTGTAGATGATTTTAAGAATATTACAGAATTGGCTGATTATTTACTTTATTTACAGAGAAATAGGACCGAATATTTAAAGTAAGAAAAATAATTAAGCCCAGAATGTTGTCTAAGGACAGATCACCGTAGTGCGTTCGAAGTACCTCCGACCTTCATGAATAACAGTCTTCAACATGATCCGTACTGGCATAAAATTATTTTGTATTATAAAGCTTTTGGGTATCATATTTTAATATGTGATACTAAGTTATCAGTCGGGAATTGATCACAGATATCTTTTCACAGATGCCTTAACGTATAACCTGTATTAATTGCCCTCCCTCAAATAATTAAACCACCTCCATTAATTACTACATCCAGCGATGGATTGAAACAATAATCACCCCCCCCCCCAACAAATGCCACAAAACACGTTCAAATTTCAAACCTCGTATAATTACCCTCCCTCGATTAATTACTCCCTCCAGCAGAAGGTCGAAAAAATAATTACCCCGGGTTGTTATTAAAGGATATACGGTATACTTTTAAATAATTGTCATGTGTAATTATTTATCTAGCTTAATGCTGGAGGCGATAATTATAATAGAATTTTTATTATAAAAATTTCAGATATTTTGAATGGACAAAAACATATCGTAAAACCAATTATCACGTTTTACACAAAAAACTAGAACGGAAGTATCACCAAGCATTTATCCTCTCCCAAAACGGCACATATGCTCCAACTTACAACCCTTTATGTAATTTGTGTGAATTATTGCATCAACAACATGGAAAGGGACATCCAAAATTAATTATTCCAGATATTTGGAAATTTTGGAAAGGACCGGATATTTGTATAGAAAATTGGGTAGATTTATATTTAAAAGGAAAACATAAAGAAGCTTTTGATAAGGCTAATTGGCCAGAACAAAATTAAATTTATATAATTTTAGTTGATAAAAAGTAGTGTTAGCGATATGTATTAGTGATATTTTTTGCTGACTTTAATATTCACTGATCAGGTTTTGGAAGAGGAAAAGATAATTTAAACGTCTAAATACGACTAGAACATTTCGGAACCTTGGAAAAATTTGAAAATCTAGGAAAAATTCCAAGACCTGAGAAAAACTCGAAAGAAATGTTTTAAAAAATTCGAAATACTCAAGACCTCGGAGAACCTTGGATTTTTTGGAATATAGCTGAATTATCACTTTATCCGAAAACTCTGAGACCTTTCAGCAAAGCTTGAAGGCTTAGGCCTTATTAAATGGAAAAATCTTTGTGTATCAGGGATCTTGCCGCATTAGAAAATAAATTTTCGGTTTTCGGGAATTAAGGTGGCACAAATTGAAAACAGCAAAAAATAATAATTTCTTATTAAATTATTTTTATATTCCTATTTAACACATTACATGATAATGACAGATAATTTTTTATTATTAGCTTTAAACATGCTATTTATTTTTAAATTTAAAAAAAATTTTAAAATTTTATTCGATTAAAAAGTACTTTAAAGCATTTTATCAGCGCCATTTTATTTTTGTTTCTCTAAAAAATGATTAAGAAAATTGGTGTCATAAAGAGGAATTTTTTAAAAGGTTTTGTATATTTTCAAAAAAATTTTATAAATGAATAATCATTTAAATAACATTAAATATTTAAAAGGCTTTTTTCTTTATTTTAAAATTTAAAAATATTCACTTTATTCGCTTTTTTAAATTTCAAAAATTATTTTGACAATTCTGTAAAAAATACTAGCAAATTTTAAAGTGAAGTTTCGTTTTTAAATAACTGAAACGTTCCTCAATCCCTCTTAATTTTGAGATTTTATTTAAAAGATTGTTCTGGGATGGGACGGTTTGGGTGAAAGCCGTGTTGAGATTCAGATAGGATTTTCTCAGTTTTCTTCTGATCAGGTGTTGGGCCAAGGGGTTGTCGAGTAAGGGTTCGGGTTGATTCGTCACTGGGATTCCTCCTCTCAGTTTTCTTCGGATCGAGTATTGTATCCAGGGTTCGTCGATCAAGGTTCGAGGGCTTATCCCAGTGATTCTTCCATGATCGGAAGAAATCCCTGATCGTCAACTATAATCTCTCAAAATGTGGAGGAATCACTGTATCTGATGGCTTAAATGAATAATTCTTTTCTTAAATAGAAATTAATTCTTCCTTTAAATTATTCTTTTGAATAAATTTAAAGCTAAATTAATGCTTGAATACTTGATTTTTATTTTATTATTTGCTGCCTTCACTAATGCTGCTCATGTAGTGTACATAAATGATGGATATAACGTTGATAGTGAAGGTAGTTATTAATTTTTACGTCGAGTTCTGAACGAGCTCGTGCTGTTTGCTAGGGATTTGGTGATAGGTCGGGCTGCATTTTAAGGCTCAGTATCATCGGAACTTTTCCCTTCTCTATACTAGAGTTGGGCGGGATCGGGATCCCGGTCGGGATCGGGCGGGATTATCCCGGTTTTTTTGAATCCCGATCCCGATTTTTCTGATCCCGAACCCGAAAGACAAATCCCGATCCCGGTTTTGGCCGATCCCGATCCCGAGCCGGGATCGGGACCGGGATCGGGATTAGCAATCGGATCCCGATGAAATCGGGATTTTATAAATTGATGAAAATATAAATTAATGAGCTGAAAAGAAAGCAATTTGGCTTCTACGCCATCCAAAATTTTCAAAATTTTCGCCTGCGGCGCTAAAAATGAAGATTTTGGCTTGAGAATCTTCGAAATTTTTCAAAATTTTTGCCTCCGGCGGTGAATAAGAAGAGACTCATTTATAAACTATCGACGGAATGGATTTGAACAGATATAATGGATATCCTAGATGTCCATCTAGATCCCAATATCTCATTAATCAACGATATCCCTCTTAATCCATCAGAATCACCTTATCGTTAATACTTTATCCCTCCTCCTTAATCCCTGATACGCCAAGAACAAATGCGCGCTGGGACTTAAAATCAATATTTCAGCACAGCAGATGAAAATTATGGAATTACATTGAGGTATATGCAATGTAAATAAAAATTTAAATTTTGAAAATTTTTTTAAACTAAATCCCGATCCCGATTTTTCAATCCCGATCCCGAGTCGGGATCGGGACCGGGATCGGGATCATTATTCCGAATCCCGATCCCGATTTCGTTCAATCCCGATCCCGCAGTCGGGATCGGGACCGGGATCGGGATCATCATTCCAAAATCCCGATCCCGATTTTACGTCGGGATCCCGATCCCGCCCAACTCTACTCTATACTCGAATCACATTAATAACAATTGAAATTTAAATATTAACTAGGGTTTAACTAGTGGTGGACATACCTATGTTACCGTACCACAATCTTTGATTGACCCTGATTGTGATTAAATTTTTTATCATAATTTTATTTTTAGAAGTACCACTTTTTCCTAACAAATATCTCTACAATAAAGGTATACATATATTAAAAAATTATTTTAATTTTCCTATTTTATAATTTAATAAATATTTCTAAAATTATTTTAAGCTTATTACCACAATAAACCAGGAAGCTATTTAAAATACCCAAAACCATATGCTTACAAAAAAGAAAACAGTTATGACACAGGTGTAAATTTAATTTCAAAAATTATTCAAAGTTTTAAATTTTAATGTAAGATCCCTACAAAGCTAATGGCGGGACTGCGTGTAAGTGAAAAAATTCTAAAACATTTTAACATTTATTTTGATTTTAATTAAAATAAATTGTTAGATAATGCCAATTATAAGAAGCCGACAAGCTACAATTATGAAAAGAAAGATGAATATAAAAAACCTGAGGATAACTATGAGAAGCCGACCTATGAGAAAAAAGATAACTACGAAAAGACTAATGAAGGATATAATAAAGAAGGATATGGAGAAAATAAAGGATATGAATACAAGGAAGGATATGAGAAGGGATATGGGGATAATGGGGGATATTCAGGAAATGAAGGATATGAGAAAGGATATGGAGATAATGGAGGATATAATAAAGAAGGCTATGGAGATAACAAAGGCTATAAGGAAGGATATGGAAATGAGGGGTATGATAAAGGTTATGGATATAATGAAGGATATAATGAAGAAAAAGGCTATGGAGGTTATGACGAAGGATATGGCGGGAAGAGTTATGAAGATAACAAAGGCTATAATAAGAAGAAATATCGAGGTCATAAAGTACGATATGGAGGTTATGGGGGATATAATGGACACAACAAATATGGATCTTCTTCATCAGAAAGTGATGAGTACATCTACCTTCGCAACTATAAATTTCCTCATTATTACGGAAGTTATATGAATTATATGGTAATCTTTGATTTACTATAATTAAATATATAATTAAATTAAAGCAGCCAGGCATGTATTATAATAGGCCAATTTACTACTATACTACTACTTCTACAACAACCACTACTACAACAACACCGACAACGACAACCGAGGAAACAACTACCACACCAGAGGGTACAACCACACAAGAAGAAACAACCCCAACACCTGAAGATACAACCACACAGGAGGAAACAACCCCAACACCAGAGGACACAACCCCAACACCTGAAGATACAACTACACCAGAGGAAACAACTCCTACACCTGAAGATACAACCCACACGCCTGAGGACACAACCCCAACGCCTGAAGATACAACCACGTCAGAGGAAACAACTCCTACCCCAGAGGATACAACACCCACGTCTGAAGATACAACCCCCACAGCAGAGGATACAACTCCCACACCTGAGGACACATCCCCGCCGTCCGAAGAAACAACTCTCCCATCAGAGGACACAACTCTCCCACAAGAGGATACAACACCACCCGCTGAAGATACAACTCCTCCACCAGAGGACACAACTCTCCCACAAGAGGATACAACCCCGCCCGCTGAGGACACAACTCCGCCGCCTGAAGATACAACTCCTCCACCAGAGGATACAACTCCGCCGTCTGAGGACACAACTCAGCCGCCTGAGGACACAACTCCTCCACCAGAGGATACAACTCCGCCGCCTGAAGATACAACTCCTCCACCAGAGGATACAACTCCGCCGTCTGAAGACACAACAGAATCAACGAGTGGTAAAATTATATCTTAAACTTAAATGGCGTATCATATCACATTATCACAACTCTAAAAAATAAAGAGGGGGGGGGGCTATTTATAAAATTAAGGAAATTTGGCCCTATCCCGAAAGAAGGGTCGAATCGTTTTTTCATTATTTTATAAAAAGGGTCAATTTTTTCTTAAAAGTTGATGGTTGTTGATGTTTGCCGTAAGGAAAAATGAAGAAAAGAGAATAACATTTTTATAACAAAAAGAGCTGTTTTAACTCCTTACCTATTGGGTCTGTCGGTTTTTACTGCTGCGGAGGTATCCAGGCATCCCCATTGCTACTAAACTTGGAATAGGTTTATGTTACTCAGGTAGAACCCAGCGACCTTTGATTCCCCAGCAAGGCGCGTGCCGCAAAACCCCGCGCGAAGCGCGGGGTTTTGCACAAGCGCCTTGCCGGCTTTCCATAGGTTTACTTGGTTTATTTTTGCATCGAATAAAAACGAAAAAATGAAAAAGTTATTCTCTTTTCTCCATTTTTCCTTACAGTAAACATCAACAACCATCATCTATTTAGTAAGGAAAAAGAGACCCTTTTTATAAAATAATGAAAAAAACGATTCGACCCTTCTTTGGGGATAGGGTCGGAAATTTTCTTGGTACGTTCTTGCATCTTATTTACAATTATTCATGAAAAATTTAGATGTTACACCAGTTTCTGATGAAACTCGTACTGATATTACAACTCCAACTGGAACAGAAGGGTTTTAATATTCCATGATAGATTATATTAAATTTTATTTAGTACTCCGCCAACACCAAAGCCTCCATGTCCTCCAGATTACGAATTCTTTAAGGAGGGAAATTGTTGCATTCTAATTTCCTCGCCAGAGAAAAAACCATTAACTTGGAAAGAAGCTAGTGAGGAAGCGAAGAAGAATGGGGCTCGAATGGCTTCCATACATTTTAAAAAGGAGGATGATTTTATAAGAAGTAAAAATTTGATTAAACTTTGGTTAAAATTAATTTAAAAATTAGATCTTGTGGAGAAACAACCAAAAGGACAGGGTAAAGACAACCCTGTCTACTTTACTGGATTACAAGTAAATGCCACAAATGGAAAGATTGACAAGTTCACGTGGTCTGACAATACTCGTGTAAACTATGGAAGTCCGAAAGATATAAAAGTGATTTGCTTTAAAAAATAATTTTGGCAATATTTTTAGCCGAATACGGATCCTTGGGGACCAAAAACTACATTTAATGGAAATACTGGATTTGGTGGAATTTCAAAAGACCCGAGCGGAAAGGCAACGTGGGGTCTTTATGATCCGAATCAAAAGGGAGGTTATGTGTGGAAGGTAGAGAATTCTGATTCTTGAAGGAATATATAATTTAATATAAGATTGACTTGGCCAACAAAGTACCGGAACCAGGCAATCCAACAGGAGGAGTTGGCCCAGTAGGGAATAGTAAGTATATCATTACGCCTAGCTATACTTGACTAATTTAATTTTAAGATGGATTACCGGCTGGTTATAAATGCACTACAGGCTGTAATCCGTCTTCTATAAAATTGAAGGCAGAAAAAGGGCAACCAAGTCCGGTTGATGAAGGACCTGTAGAAAAAAATGGGTGCCAAACTGATGTGTTGAGTTGTACAACAAATCAACCAATTGCCACTATAGCGGTTTAAAAATATTTTTTAAGTAAAAAAAAATTTTTTAACAGTTTGGAACCCAAGGAAGTCTTAAATCCAATCAACGTGATAAAAGAAATGTGAGAGCTCAAGTATTTTGTGTTGAGGAAGAGAAAACCAAGAAGAAAGGATGGATTAGAAATGGGGTAGATAATAATCCAAAATTATTCTTCATTGAAGAGGTAAAGATGAGAGAAAAATATTTAAATAATTTTTAATTTCAGGCCCATTGTGAACAGTCGAGTTGAATAGAAATCGCTTGATTAAATGTGAATTACGATAATTTTTTTCACTTGATTAAATATTAATTTCGAGAATATTTTAAAATAATCTTTTATAAAATTTATAGTACCTAAATTTATTCTTCAATTTTTCATTGAACTTTGATTAATTATTGAGGTAGAAGGTAATACATATCTCCCTAGGTTTAAAAAATAATTTTCCGATTTTCTCTTGGATTTTTTTCGATTTTTCGAATCTACTTTAAAATACAACATAGAAATAAAATTTTTGAATTTCCTTTATGAATCAAGGAAAATTTATTTTTGAGAAGCAAGGGAAAATTCCCCAAAATTCTTTTATTTGCTTTTGATAATGTTAATGAGGGTACCACATGAAGAATTGAGGAGGAAAAAATTTTGTCTAATTTCCTTTGAAGATGGATCAACTGGAATTGCCATACTCCATATTTTAAACAAAAATATTCTTCCCTTACATTTTCCCATATTTTATTCAAAATTAATCTGTCTATTGATAAAGAAAAGTTTGGAAAAAATTTAAAACTTCGCCCCGCCCTCTTTGAATGCCAAATATGTATGTATAAGTGCCTCCTATTGAATTATTTTACTACCTACATATTTCATTTTTTAATTCATACAATTTCTAAATTTTAGAAAACAAAGTCTCTCTTTAATTTATAATAATTTTTGATTTTTTAAAAATTTATTTGTAAAACTTGGATTAATTTCCCTTTGATTTAAGTTTATACTGGACTTTACCCCCCCCCCCCTCCTTAACAGATCAAAATGGCAACTTATTAATGTCTTGTACCACTGCATATGGAAATACACTAAAAGATAACAAAAACTCAAAATTCTCGACTTATCAATGAAAACTCGAGAATAGATAAGGTTCCAAAGATGCTTAATTTAAAAATTTAATTGTTAAATGTTGTATCTAATTTTGTTTTTATCAATTTGTCAAAAATTCTGATTTTTTTGGAATATTATATTTTTAATTCTCCATCCAGTGATGAACCGTACCATTTGATAATAAAATCTAGAATAAACATTTTGTCGCGAGCCACATATTCATTTTTTAGTCTTACTGTATTTTCCCTATTATCTAGATTAAAGATTTAATCTAATTCGAATTAAATTTTTTTAATATTTAGTTGGAATTTTTATTGTTAAATTCTGAAATATGAGCGGAAGTGAAGAAGATTCGTTTGATTTTCCTGAATTTTTGGAAAAGGAGAATTCTTCAACAACTTCATCCATTTTTGGAGTATTTTTTAATCTAAATTTCTTTTTTAAACTAAAAACCTTCCCTCTTATTCAGTCTCAGACAGATTCTCCTTTGTTTCAAAGCACTTCTCAACATCCGATTGAGAGAATGCAAAAACCTGAATTTTTGAAATGGTACCATTTCTTCTTGATTTTTTAAAATTTATTTCAAAATAGCTCTCATGATCTACTTACGAGTGGTGCCATTTCTCCAATTGTAGGTTCATTTCAAGAAGATTTGGATAAACTTGACAAGGACAAAATTGTTCAAAATTTGGTTACTCGATTTGAAAATTTGTTTGACGTAAAAATTTATTTATTTTTCATATTATTTCAAAATATTTTAAAGTATTTTGAACGAAAACAACACCAATTAAATGCAAATTGGGAAAATTTCCATAAAGAGATGGCTAAGTTTAATCAACAAAAAATCCATGAATGGGCAAAACTAGAAGATATTCAACGTGATGAATATAAATCAAAGGCAGAAAGGGAATCTACTCGAGTTAAAGAGTTGGAACTAGAGGTGTAGTTAAAATTTGATCAAAATTATTTCATTTATTTAAAGCTAATACATGCAAAAATTAAATTATTGGAAGGAAAAGTAGATGCCTTTGGAAAATCAGTTAAGGAGGATAATGAAAGAATTAATGATTATAGTGAAATTTTGGATAGTTCAGAGGTTCTTTCAGAATTCGAAAAATTTATATTTCAAAATTATAGCAAGAGAATTACTGTTCCCAATTTGTTGATGAGCCTGTAAATTTATTTAATTCTCATGCCTATTCGACATTTAATAACTTGGATACTTGTTTAAATCAAAAATTTGAATTACCATCTGAAATGGTTGATTTTTTAAAACTATTTTAAGATTTCTTTTTAATAGGTGAATACAATGTATAAATTGACCGAACGAGGTAAATCTTATACATTTAAAAATGGAAATGAAGAAATTGTTGTTACTGAACTTTGTGGATGTGATAATTATTATTGCCTTCTATATGAATATCCTAATAAATTAATTTGTGGAAAAGAACATTCAGAGAAGCATAACTTCAAAAATTTTCGTTGGACAACAGTTCCAATATTGCCAATTTCAAATTTTAGTGTAGCAAATCAAAAAATTGAAGTAAAATTTTTATGTTAAAACAGAAAGTATTTTAAAAAATTTTAAAAAGTTTCATTAATAAAATACTTTCCCCACATTGGTAATAGTTTGGAATTCACGCCTCCCCTTTTCCCCCGTTTCCATGACCATTTTAAACTTTTTTTGTTTTATATATAATTTATATCATTTGAAAGCGCTTTTCGAGCTTGGTCGAATAATACCAAGATCGGCTAGTTCTGGTGATTATTACCAAAATTATAAAGCTAACTCCTTGTTGGGAAAACATTTTGTGCCAATGAAAGGGGATAAAATAAACTGTCATAACTTTGTTCACTTAAGTCAGATTTTGTTGATTTTAAAGTGATTCGAATCAGCTTGAATGGCTCTTTCGAATGATAAAAATTTGTCATAAAATGAGAGAAAACTAGGAGAAAATAGTAAGGAAAATAGGGGGGGGGTGAATTCAAAACTATTACCCCCACATTTTCCTTCCTCAAAGTATTTTAAATGGTCAGGTTTAAAGTTCAAACTGTATTAAAAAATTTTTTAGCAAAAATTTCATAAATAATTTTTATTATTTCTTATAGATTAATTTCATTAAAGAAAATAATTTTTATCAAATTATAACAAAAACTGGAAATATTATTAAATTTTATCCTTCTGGTAAACTAATTGTGTGTTGGAAAAACGCCGATAAAACAGTAATACTTCCAGATGGTGAAAGGCGTGAATTTTTGCTTCGTAACGAGCCTAATTTTTATATGGAAATGTTTTTTTTAATTTTTTAATTAAATCGTTTTATAATTTAAAGTTATAAAACAACTGGAAAGGCTTTTCGTTTAAATTCATCAAATAATTGGAAAACTGAAGAATTTATATATGATATTACTAGAATGTCAGTTCGACCAGATGGGTCCTTTTCTTCATTGTCCAATAAGGTATTTAAAGAAAAAAATATCGTATTTCTTCTAATAATGCGACTCTCTCTATTAGACCGGCCCTTTCTAATAAACCGACCTTTAGATAATGGTTGAAAAATAAACTGACCAGTCGCACTATTAAAAAAATTACGATAATTTAGAAATATATTCTTTGGAAAATAATTTTTTAAACAGGCCCATATTAAAACAAAAGAAAATTTTTATGAATCCTATTTACAAATTAATGGAACAGATTTTAAGGTCTTTTTCTTTTTTAATTTACCACGTGTGTAGTATAATATAAGTTTAATTTGAAATTTAACAAACTTTTTTTAATAAAACTGAAAATAATACCAAGTCTGGTTCCCCCTTTAATACCGAGGCTGGTCCCCCCAAAATAATACCAAGGATGGTCCCCCCTTTTTATGTTCGCCTGACCATTTTCAACTCTTTTTGCTTGACATATAATTTATCATTCGATTGTTAGCCCGGGAGAGTGGCTTATGGGATGTAAACTACACAAGTACTAAATGTTTTTTATAGCTTCGTCGGTTTAATTCCACAAAGGCTGTTAAAATAGTAATACCAGTAGAATTTTTTCCTGGAACAAGTGTGCAATTTTGGCTTTTTGTTGAAAATGCCATTATTGTTAAGCATGTTCGTACTGAGAGGGGATTTTGTGGACAAAAGAAGCATGGTAATTTTTTAAATAAATGCATTTGTTTAAGAGTTAAAAAGTTATTTGTGTGACATGAAAGAGTGTATTTTGTTAATATCTCCCCCCCCCCCCCTACCCATATTTTAGTCTCGGATTAATTTTTTACTGACACTCATTATTTTCCTAATTTTTAGACAAATTCCTGGCTCTAATTATTACCATAATAGCTCTAATCTTAAACAAAAGCTTAATAAATATTTAAATATTAAATTTTTGAAGATGAATATGTTTGTTTCTCTTATGGCAAAGCTGGAAAATATTTAAATAACACCAGCATTAATTGAATTACTAGTGAAAATTGCCTTTTAATATGCTATAATCAGATGGATTCATTTCAAACAGATATTTTTTGTTAATATTTTAATTTTTTTTTTAATTTTTTTATAACATGTGCTTTAAATATAATTCATCATACATGTCATTTATATTTTAATTTTTTAAAGTTTAATTTTTACAATAAATATGTAGAAAATCTATATTGAGTTTCTACAAGACATAAAATAATAAGAATTTTCGCCAAGGATGATTACAACAGAGCTTGGGAATGATTATGAAGAGGTTTGCATAGTTAAACGGTTTATTTTGTATAAATGAGGATATTGGGAGGGTGGGCCTTATTGAGGGGGGGGGGTGTGGCAGGATATAAAACGAAATGAAACGGAACACGAGAATTTTATAACCAATATAGAAATGACTGATTTAAAAAAATCCAACAGAAATTAGATATGGTTACAGCCCAAAACGGCGCGCGGCCATAAAGGCGTAAAGCAATAATTTGCTGGAAAATGTCTGGCCGTTCTCAATTATGGTACCAATCTCCTTAGCTCGAATAATGGAATCGTTTAATACTAAATTTGTTAAGATTAGGAATTTTTGAAGCGAGTTATGACTTTGCGCCGTTATGGCCGCGCGCCGTTTTGGGCTTGTTCTATAAAGTTTGTAATTCACTAAAAAACACCCGGTTCTT